TTTCCGACTTGCTTTGATGAAATGAGCTAAAAACAAGTACAACAACAGGGAAGAAAAGTAATGATTGGAGACAACCATTCGTCTCATCTCAACAGGCAGTCTTGAAGGCATGTGAAGACAATGACATTGCCTTTGAATGCTTGCCTCGAATATGTACGCACTTGCCACAGCCACTAGACATTGCGTTCTTTCGGCCCATGAAGATAAAGTGGCGCCAGTACTCACAGATTGGAAAAGGAAAGAGAAGAAATCAAAGACAAATGCCCAAGGATGTTCTTTCCAAGACAGCTGAAGAAACTACATGAAATATTACAAGTTAATTGCCAAAGAAGTGTTGGTGAATGGGTTTAGAAAAGCTGGAATATTCCCAATCAGCAAAGATGAACTGATTGCAAGATTACCACACCGAAGAGGGCAACCATCTAGTGTTCGTCTCGGCGTGCTACCTGTTCATCTCGCTGGCCTACCTCGCCGGCTAGGGACTCGATCGCTTGCTCGGGGCCGTTCCGTGATTCCGGGAGAGTGACGGCGGGCGGCGCACGATCTGTACGAGTACGGAGCACGCGCAGAGGCGGAGGCCATGGTGGAGTCCTACTAGTTGTCACGCAGGTAAGGGGGAGCTCGTTAGCTATTTGTATAGTTTTGTTATCTAATTAGTATAGTTCGTTAGCTAATTATTTTCTACTCAACCTTTTTTATGATCGAGAAGGTGCAAATAGCTTTTTATGGTTAGAAGGTGCGATAAGATATCTTTTAAAACTTATTGGCATCTTGCCTCCATTAATTAATTGTGTATTCTTTCAAGTGGAACTGTGCGTGGAAAAAATACACCGCCGCCTCCTCACACATCGACGAAAGACGCCGATACGCGACTAGTGGGAGTCACGTGCTTGTATGGTTAGCGTGTATTGTGACTACGTCGTGTATAGTCAGACGAGTAAACTGCCACGTATGAAAGTACATTTGCGAGTTCATTATAAATATTTGTGCAATAACGGCTTATGAGAATATGAGACCGAGCTATTTAACACAGACTGCTTCCAGTTCGTCCGAATCCGCGAGACGGCTTATATACCCGATTACAATTGAATATTAAGGTAGATAACAGGTGCTCAACGAGCAGATCAAGTGAACCAACAAAGAAATACGACTCGATAATGACGAAAGAAACACAACCGAATGACCGGTCAAGAAAAAGAGGAGTCGGTAAACTACAAAAGAAACAAACAGCTTTCTGTCTCATCGTCAAACGAGAACCGCGGAAATGCAAAAATTTACATTCGCCTACGGTCCTCGCAAACAAAACAAAGTGTTAAGACCAAATTTCGTGTATTTGTACAGTTTGTTGTAATAGCGTCACCCAATGACCTGGCTAGCGTGCCTAGGACTGACCATACGTAGTGATTTAGTGCTATTGGTTAATAATATTCACTTGAGAGTATCACGTGATAAGAAATACTGGCTAATACGTTTTACGAGACTATGCGGACGCGAGTAACAAGAGTGGGCTATGTGGTGTACGTAGTACAGCCAGGTTTATAAAGCCGCACGATCTGATGGCAGTTCATTGATTGGAGACGGAGGGAAATTGTTTCGGTAGGAACTAGTTTATATGTGAAGTGTCGCGCATGCATCAGTATGTTGTATTTTATCGTATGTTGTAGGTATAAATTATCGTAATTAAATTCTATTAGGGACGAGGGTTTGTGAAAGGGTACAGTCTATATTTTGATTTACCTATCCAAAGAGTGCATGTTCTAGCAGAGTTATTAGACAGCAGGTGGCTTTCAGCGTGAGCTTTTGGGAACAGGTTAAAGCAGATTCCGAGGACCATGATTTTTTGACACTAGATAGTGTGGAAAAACCTTGGAACCCTTCATCTGAGACACTTGACTTAATGTCGCTCGAGCCAGATCCTTCATCGGAGCAGATAAAGTATGGTCCGCGAACTAGAGGGTCCGATGGTCA